CTTAAATAAAATCGTAACGACAGTAAAAGAAATCTGTGTGAGAAATTTACAAGGCAGGTCAAAGCCAAAAAAGCAGGCTTGGATGACAGATGATATACTGGATTTGATGGAACAACGGCGACTAGCAAAAACCAACGAAACACTTTACAATAGCATACAAAAAGAAATTCGACGTAAAATACGAGAAGCAACGAGTCAACATCTAGCCAAACAGTGTCATGACATTGAAGAACTCGAAAAAAGATACGACACGTTTAAAATGTATAAAAAAGTAAGAGAAGCGGCTGGTATCTTCAATAAGAAACAAAATGCATTGCTACAGGATGAAAATGGTAAAGTAATATTCGAAGTAAAGGACAAACTTAAAGAATGGGAAAATTACGTCACGAACCTATTCGAAGACGATATGAGTAGTTCACCTCCCGATATTACTAACTGCGACGGACCCCTAATAACAAGCTGTGAGGTTATAAAGGCCATACAATCATCAAAAGATAGCAGAGCGACTGGTCCTGATGAAATTCCAACTGAAATATATAAGCTTATAAAGGATAGCAATGTTTTAGAGGCTATAACTTCGTTTTTCAATACCATTTATACCAGCAGACAACTACCTAATGGTTGGTCTAACTCACTGTTTATAGCTCTACCTAAGAAGACAACATCAAAAACCTGTGATGATTATAGAACCATCAGTTTGTTAAACCACTTATTGAAAATTTTTCTGAAGGTAATACATGGTCGTATCTACAATAAATGTGAGGAATACCTGGATGCCACTCAGTTTGGTTTCCGTAACGGATTTGGAACGAGAGAGGCACTGTTTGGAATGAACGTACTTGCTCAAAGATGTCGTGATATATCTGTAGACATATACTGTTGTTTTATTGTCGTGTTGTTTTATATGTCAAAAGGCATTTGATCGTGTTAAGCACTCTATATTGATCGAAGCTTTAAAAGACATTGGCTTGGACGGCAGAGATGTTCGAATAATTGCAAATTTATACTGGAATCAAACAACATCAGTTTTAGTAGATGGTGTGGAATCACAAGCTCTCAATATTAAAAGAGGAGTACGGCAGGGATGCCTCTGGTCACCCCTGCTTTTTAACGTTTACTCTGAAAGAATTTTCAGAAAAGCACTTTCTGAAAAACAAGAAGGAATACTTGTGAACGGCGAAGTCATCAATAATTTGCGATATGCGGACGATACAGTACTCCTAGCTTCTAGTCAAGAAGATCTGCAAACACTACTGGATAGTGTCGTTGAGAGTTGTAGGGAGGCAGGTCTGGATCTTAACATAAGGAAAACCAAAATACTCGTAATAAGTAAACAACAGAATATAAAACCGTCTATATATGTAAATAATACCAAACTTGAGCAAGTTGATAAAATCGTCTACCTTGGACAGCAATTAAATTGTAATTCAGAAAATCACGGCGAAATTAGATCCAGAATAGAGCAGGCTAGAGCTGCTTTTAGAAGGATGTCCAAGGTGTTATGTAACAGAGACCTAAAATTGGCATTAAGGATCCGCCTACTTCGCTGCTACGTATTCTCGGTCTTACTTTATGCTGTCGAGTCCTGGACTGTGAATAAAATCGATCTAAATCGCCTTGAGGCTTTCGAAATGTGGTGCTATAGAAGAATTTTAAAAGTTTCCTGGGTGGAGAAGATTCGTAACTCCACATTACTAGAACGTCTCAGCAAGACTACTGAGATCATAAAAAGCATCAAGCAGAGAAAGCTGGAATATTTCGGACATGTAATGAGAGGTCCCAAATATAGATTGCTACAAAATATCATGCAAGGAAAAATAGCAGGCAAACGCAGTCCAGGACGAAGAAGAACCTCATGGTTGAAGAACTTGCGAGACTGGTGTGGTGTAGATACAAGTATGCTATTTAGGGTGGCAGTGGATAAAATTAAAATAGCTATGATGGTAACCAACGTTCTGAAAGAACATGGTACATGAAGAAGAAGTGGTTGTGCTGAACAAGGTAAAGCAATAGACTGAGCATCTGCCGTATTAAAATCATATCAATTTTCATATTCTGTAAACATAAAGAATAAAAAAGAAGTGAAGCGTTACTTGGGTCACCACCACTTATAACAAATAACTTGGTTAGTACTTTCGCACATTCAAAAGGGATTGTTTTGTAAGTAATGCTTTTTTTCTAATAAAATAAAATGTGGTCACAGTATAGGGATTGCAGCCAAAAGACTGGTCACGAAACCTTTCGCTAAACTCATGGGCAAAGACGGAGCCATACAAACCCATGAAAAATCATCATACCACATCATCAGTCATTAACCAGATAGACTCTCAGAGGTCTAAACTGATACAAGAACATAAACAAAGACTACAACCAATAGTAAAGTCTATAATGTTCTTAGGTCGATAGAATATTTCTCTAAGAGGCCATTGTGATGATAGCCTTCTGATTCTGGACAAAGATGCTAGACCTAGCAATCAGAGGAACTTCAGGTAATTGTTAAGGTTTAAAATTGCATCAGGAGATAAGACTCTTATACAACAACTTCCACGGCATCTTCCCGAGCAATATACATTAGAAGCACCAATCAAAATCAATTGATAACATGTTGTGGTAAAGAAATAATTGAAACAAATATTGAATCAGGTTCAAAGTACAAAGTGCAAAAATTTACAACATTCGTGAAGACCATGTCATTGACGCTTACGAGAAGATAAAAATAATTAGTAAAATCAAGAAAGAAGGGAAGAACAACGCCTGACAGGAGAAGCCTTAGGAAAATAGTATTAAACTTGTTGAAAGTATTGCACTTGGATCCGAAGAAATATGTAAGAATCGGTACTGACAATTGTAGCGTAATGAGCTCTGAAGCAGTCGGTGCAGTCACAGAAATAAAAAAGATCGCAACAAATACAGTTAGATGTTCTTGCCTGAATCATATTTTAAACAACTCCCTTTTAACTTCTATTAACGTATCGTCCATCATAAATACAGTGGGAGCAATGAAGTCAGTAATATCATTTTTTAACATGTCAGCCAATAGAAATGAAGTTTTAAACATTGATACAATAGAAATACAAACAATAGAAATGAGATTTTAAACAAGATGGGTTGAGCGCCATGAAAGCGTACTCCAGTTCAGATCTGGCATTTTACATATAATTGAAGTACTAACATCTATCTCAACACAAAAGAATAACAAGACTGCTAAACGTGCCACCTCACTGTGTGAGGTGGCAATGAATGCATGGAGCTACGGGACATTAGTCCCACACTCCTAACTGATTCCAAAGGAGAAAAAGAAGAAGGAACTATTAAAAGATTCGAAGAGAGCAGTTCTGAGAACAGTTTCCACCTATCATGGACATTAGTGATATACCGACAACATTGTTCTATTTGAAGGTGAACTAGATTTATGGAGAATATTCAATACGAGAACCCATGCTCCCACTGAAGATAAAGAAGACGAGGAGAAGGACATATTTTACGAGAAACTGGAAAGCACTTAGAGACAATGTCAGAACAACGACATAAACATTATTATTGGTTATTTTAACGCTAAGTCGGCCAAGAGACTATTTACCGACCCACGATCGGCTAGCGTAGTCTTCATACTGTCAGCAACCAAAATGGTTTACGCCTATGACGATAATATATTTTATCGTCTAGAGTACGCCTATCTGTTAAACAAAACACGTTTTTGTTCCGTCTCGAATAGTATAAAAGTCGAAAACTGAAAGACAGCTAACCATTCTTGACGCGTTGAGTTGAGAATATCCGACCTTGGGGACAGGTGAGTTGAACGTGTCCCAAATCCTTTCCGAACCCAGTCGATCTGGCGCGCTGACCGAGATTGACAATCCTTCCTCTGACCGCGTCAATCTGGTGCGTTGAACGAGATTGGCGTATTCTTTCCATCTAGTGTGTTGAACTAGATAGACATCCTTATTTCCGTCCGAGTACTCGTTCTGCGTTGAAGAACGACTACGACTTCAATTCCTCGATCGTCATATCTTAGTTTATCATATCGAATATCGTCACACCCATCTACCGAAATAAATAAACAGTACGTTCTTGTATTTAAGCATTATATTCAGTAAACACTTAACGTTAATTACTTTTTTTCATAGACATAATTCATAGGGTCATTCAAACAATAGGGTCACAGAATATGATTGTATCAATCATGGGTCTTCGAAAAGACTCGATCTTTGTGATCGGATCGTTTGTGACCTTTTCATCACTATTAGCGCGCTTTTTATGTTGGTTTTTTGTAGTGATCGCTGACATTAATTTATTAATTTAAACGTCCATAGATAATACCGCGCTCCCCTAACACATGCCCGCGGACCCCAGGTTAACAAACGCTACTCTATATCATTCTTGTATTCAGTTAGAATGGCTTGGTTGTGAGTGAAGTGTATCATATACAATCTGTCGTCTTCAATTGGGATGCCCATATTGCAGCATTTTTTCTCCACATTGAGGGCGGCTCATTCAGATATATTTTGAAGAGTGTATGTAGTAGGTGCTATATACAGCAGCCATTTTCCATTGTAACTTAGAGCATTGAACGCGGTACACTATCGTATGCCTTTGTCAGATCTATAAAGATTCTATGAGCTGAAAGGTTGTTGAAAGGTTATTGAAACTCAATAACCTGCTTTAGAAAAAATATGATGTCCATACAGGATCGGCCTGAACGAAAGCCATTATGTTCTTCTACATATGTCATCTCTTTTTCAATTGTATTTGTTATTATTTTTCCTAAGAGTCTTGAGCGTGAATTCATAAAACTCAGCCCCCTGCAGTGAAATAAAGAATAAAAATGTACCGGGAGCGATTTGGTGCTAAGTACTAGTCGAATAAAACACGTGACATCATAGATGTTATCAATTACATTTCTTTTAAGAACAAGCACGGCATAATTGAGGCTTGAATGTCATAAGAATTCGTGAAGATGCTACTGATTCCAATTAAAATGACTGTTAACTATTTTTTAGATTCCGGCTCTCTTATTCAGTCTCCAAAGGTCAGAAGAAGATTGGAGATACAAAACTCAACAGACCCAAGGTCCCAAAGGTTCCTGCCTGGGAGGTAACAACAAACAATGCAACTGGCCAAGAGGAAAAATGTTGGGTGGAAGCAGTTCCATAAACGCCATGCTCTATATCAAAGCAAATAAGAAGAATTATGATGGATGGGCTGACTTGGGAAATCCTGGTTGGGATTGGGAGAGCGTCAAAGGTTATTTCACGCAACTGGAGAACGTCCAACCGCCTGACGATAAGATTACGCCTCTGGGTACCAAAGGGTTGCTGCCAATTACGAAAACACGACACAGTTAGTAGATTTATATTTATTTGGACATTGGAATTGTTCTTTCAAAATCTAAAGGGATTATGGTCGTGATGGATTATTTAGGATACGTGTGTCATCTATTTTCATTTTTTCGACATTTTCTGTTAGTTGTCTCTAATAATCCAAACGTGGTTTGAGTGGAGGTTGGCGTGGGAGTTAGCGTGGGGCTTGGCGCGGGGGTTCGTACGAATATTTCTGACAGTAAGGCTTTTGATGGGGGAGCGGACGATATTTTCTTTATGAGAAGTCGCCAAGTCGAAGGTAACCATATGCCGCAATCTCTTTTATGGAAACAATTTGACCTTTTTTCAATTTCTATGGCTTCCCGGATAATTCTTGATTTATAGAAGCGGATGTGGGCTATGGTTCTGGAGTTTTCAAAATCAGTTTTATGACTTATATGCAGATGGTTTTGAATGTAGACCTGAAATTAGACCGGAATTTCGAACAGAAATGGAATGTTCATAAATCCTATTTTGGATTCTATGATTTGTTTGGCCTATATAGGATCGCGGACAGTCTGCATAAGGAATTTCATAAATTCCGTGTTGTTCATTTGAAATCTTGTCTTTGATTGATAGGACAAGATCGTTTAAACTTTCCGCTATGGTTTTTTTTTTGGTCCACGAACTCTTCTGAGGATCTTCCTCTCTATTATTCTTAGCTTCTCTTCGCCTCTGTTAGTCAGGCACACTGTCTATGCTGCATAGGTTATGACAGGTCTGATTACTATTTTATATATTACAATTTTCTTGTTTTTACTGCATATTCTCTCTAGTAGTTTTATACAATATGCTCTATTGCCTGCTTTTACTCTTTTAGTTATCTCTTCAGTCTTGTCGTTTGAGTTATTGTTACTCCTACTCCTTGTTACTCCTAGATAGTTAAATCCCTCTTATTGTTGGATACTATATTTTAATAGTTATAAAATCAGTATTTTTTCTTGATCTTCAATTTAATTTAATAATTTCTCTAATGTGTCTCATATATGAAGTAAATGAATGGCATTGATCTAATATAATGTACTTACATTAAAAAGATTTACCTTGAATAAAAAAATTGATATAAAGTTTACGACCTCAATGTACCATGACTCGTCAGTTTAGATTCACGTTAGAACATTATTGCCGTTAAAATATTTCACACTTTGTAGTAATTAAACATTTTATTCTAATTTTACTATTCGTTGTTACATTTGAACACATTCAATAATCAAGAATTAAGACAAGCAATTTAAGGACAAAATGTTTTTAAAAAAAAAGTATATTGACTAAATATAGACTACATTAAGAGATACGTGCATTTTTAAACAATTAGAGAAGGATCTAGTTACTTTTGTCTCTTAATTAAATTTCCAAAAAAAAACATTATTATTTTATTCTATTTATATTATTTTAGATAGTCCGCTTAGAAAATCAATGAACAAAGGATTCCTTGAACTAGGAGTTCCGATCCTTAGCGAACAAAATCCCGAAAACCCCATAGGAACAGTGGACGCCCCGATATGTGTTCACAATGGTATTAGATCAAACACTGGCAGAAAAATCTTGGGTGCTGTCAAAAGCAGAACAAATCTATTTACCAGTCTACATTCCATGGTGCATAAACTCATAATTGATCCAAAAACGAAAGCTGCTAAAGGAGTTGAAGTCAAAGTTGGCAATAGAGTTTTACGTCTACGAGCAAAGAAAGAAGTGATACTTTCAGCAGGAACAATAGGCTCAGTCCAATTACTAATGTTGTCAGGAATTGGTCCCAAACAACATTTGACCGACTTAGGAATAGAAACGATTAAAGATTTACCAGTTGGAAAGAATCTACAAGATCACTTGATGTTTGTTGGATATGAACTTAAGCTAGACTTGAATGCTATCATACCTTTCGATCCAATTGATGCCATCTACGAATATTTTAAACACAAAACTGGACCTTTGAGCAACATTGGCTTAACGAACTACTTGAACTTCGTCAATACCCGCAACGATTCTATCTGGCCAAGCATCTCTTACCACAACTTAATCTTAAATCCTAATGATGAGTCTTCTTTTTTTACGCTTTTTAGAGCACATAATCTTCCCGATGAAATAATCAAAGAAAAAATAAAAATATGTAAAGACAAACCTTGTCTGGCTCACATGCCAGTGATATTATCTCCAAAGTCGAGAGGTGAGATCCTTTTGAATAGTACCAGCGTGTATGACCATCCTCTTATATACAGCGGTTATTTGACGGATGAAGATGACGAAGATTTGCAAGTATTTCTGGAAGCTATCAGGTGAGTTTCAAATGCAGTAGTTTTAATTTAGTTTTAATAAATTAACTACTGCATAGTTTAGTATAGACGCGGCGACCTTTAATCCTTTCTTCTTTACAACCAACCGGACGCATGTGAGAAGCATTTTAATTAGGTAGCAGATCATTAGTAGAGAGTAGAGGGTTGTTTGCTGAAATTTAATTATTTTGAATAGTGATGTAGCAGTTCGTTAATAGAGTGTAGAGTGATGTTTGCTCCAATTTAACAGAAACACAACAAGCATGCTTCAATGTGTACAAAAATCTACATAAGAGATTCAGCTTTGATAAAAAACTGTTGGTACAAGCAACTTTTAATTTGACAGAAATTCCACTTTCAACTGTATACAAAAAAAGTTTAAAATGGACCCCCATTTTCGCAAGAAGCGATGTGACTACAAATTTTGAAAACCTATAGATGCTTATAAAACTATTGAAAACCACAATATAGGATTGTTTCAATGAAATACCTACAATAGAAGTATTAAGAAAGAAATTGGAAACTATTGGTCGGAACATCAACTGCTGTGAGAAAACCCTTCAAAATTGGATACAGAAAATGAGCTTTAAATTGAAAACAATAAATAAATGTCAAGCAGTTATGCAAAGTCAAAGAATAGTCAACAGACTTTTTAAACTAAACCCCTGCCATCCGAAAACCGACCTTCTGCTGCTGGTCTGTTCCTCTCCGTTCCGATCCGGAAAGTAACAAACCAGCAGCGTATGGCCCTTTATGGCCCGATGAATGTCCAGCTAAAATCGTACAAGATCCACCACTTTCCTTTGTATTTACTAATTTGACTACGCCAAATCGAAGGTAAATAGAAAAAGTAACAAAAAGTTTAAAAATAGTAAATATGTGTAATTTTATCCATGCAGAAGTGGTGAAGTGGAAGTGTGCAGATCAAAAGAGGTGTCCGTCAGGGGTGTATCTTATCCCCACTCCTATTCAATATTTATTCCAAGGCAACATTTAACAAATGTATGAAAAACGCAAATGAGGGCATAAAAATAAACGGCGAGTTAACGAACAATATAAGATATGCCGACGACACGGTGATCCTTGCCAGTACCATAGACGAATTACAACAGGTCATGGAAAGAGTTTATTCAGTTAGTGAGAAATACGGCCTGAGCCTCAACTTTAAAAAGACAATAATCGGATATCCTGGACCGAACATGTCACCAACATAGAGGTAATCCAAAGAATCAGAAAGGAGAAAGAAATCGTGAGCCTAATTAAACAAAGAAAGCTTGAATATCTAAGCCACATATTGAGACTCGATGAGTACCGTCTACTGCAATTAATTCTCCAGGGGAAAATAGACAGTAAGCGAGGGCCAGGCAGGAGAAGACCCTCGTGGCTTCAAAATCTGCAAGATCAGAATTGCCATGTTAATAGCCAACGTTCGCAATGGACAGGGCACTTGAAGAAGAAGATCCAGGCAGAGTTTTCGGAGTGTAAAGAGCCCTGTATGTCCGTTTCCGCTATAGCCGTCCTCAAGTTTCTGGCTCAATTCACGTGCAATCGATGCAGAACTGCCAGAAGATGTTTGAGTCCATTTAAGGATTTTCTTCCAGATACGTGACATATATGGTAAACTGAAGATTAAAGACGTGATATCAGTTGCTGAGCTGATCAATTCAGTCAGTCTCCTTCATATGATAGCCGGGACGTGTATGGCCATGACCATGACGCCCAGGCCGCCCTCCTTAGTGGGAGCGTGAATGTAGGCATCGGCATACGTACGATTGAGGGACAGAATCTTCCGAAAGGCTATACTACAGACCTGTCAACGTCCTTCAGCGTTTTCATCGTGATGGTGGGACTGTGGAGCTTGTCAACATATCTCGCAAGCAAGTATGTTTTAAGTACCAGCAGCTTTGTGCTGGTTTGAGCCCCGCTCGATGAATACGATCGATCTGTGTCTGCAGCTCGTTGAAGGCTACCCTGATCTGTCCTAGTGCATTATACCTTTGGCCTGACGAAAATACTAAGAAGGATAACCGAATCGTGATATGATAGGGAGAGAAGTGAATACATCCAAAGACAGTGCCATATAATACCAAAGACAGTGCCATATAATACCAAAGACAGTGCCATATAATGCCAAAGACAGTGTCAAATAGTTCCAGGTAATACATGGATACCAAAAAGAAGAATAGAATTGAATAAACGTATTAATAGAATGGCGCAAAAACAGAATAGTAAAAATATCTCGAGACAAATTGTCAATAGGTCAAAGAAACATTGGACGACCTACAAAGCGCTTGTATGATTGTTTAAAAGATACCGAAGATTTAAGAGGCATTATATTAATTATTGTTTCAGAAATGTAGAGATGTCAGCTGTAATGTTTTTGCATGCCTGATTGACTACAAGAAGGCTTTCGATAAAGTCAGACATGAACAAATAATGGGGTTGATGGGATGATGAATAGATGGAGAATATACAGATCAGGTCAAAATCTTAAGCGGAGTGAGACAGGGGTGCATAATTTCACCACCGATATTCAATCTGTACTCGGAGCCCATTTTTGAAGAGGCCCTAAAAGATATTGATGAAGGCATCTCAATAAATGGAGTCAAGCTCAATAACCTGCGGTATGCAGATGATACAATAGTGTTTTCCAATACCATAGAGGGCTGCAAAACTTAATGAACAGAATAACGGAAATATCTAATATCTAACATCTAATATCTAATAACGAAAATCTGTATGTGAACCAAATGAGAATTGAACTTGTCTCACAATACAATTGCTTGGGAACTATAATAATCAATGAGTCGTGGGACAATACCCAAGAGATTAAATGTCGCATCGGAAAGGTCAAAAGTGCATTCTTGACTATGAGCTCTGTGTTCAAGAGCCATGACCTCACCCTGAAAACAAAAATAAGGCTCCTTAAATGTTACGTGCACTCACTGCTTTTGTATGGAGTAGAAACGTGGACATTTAAGGCGGAAACTCTATCAAAACTTCAGGCCTTTGAGCTATGGTTATACAGAAGAATCCTGAAGATACCATGGATAGACAAAGTCACCAATGAAGAAGTACTACAGAGGATAAACACAACCGCGGATTTGGTCAACATCGTGAAGAGCCGTAAGCGCTGGAGTACTTGGGGCATATAATGAGAAATCAAGGCAGATACTAGCTACTCCAATGCATTTTGCAGGGTAAAATTGAAGGAAAAAGAGCCCCATAACGAAGAAGAATATCCTGGCTTGCTGACCTGAGAGCATGGTATAGAAAGACCTCAACACAGCTATTTCGTATAGCAACCAACAAAATCATCATAGCCAGAATGATTATAGCCGTTCAGAACGGACAGGCACCCTAAGAAGAAGAATGTATATTAAGAAAACAGAAAAAGATATTTGTGAATAATTCACACGCTAAATAAAATAATGAATAAAGTTTCGCTGTGTTCTCTTCTTTGTTTTCTCGTATTTACATGTGGCAGAAATATAGTTTGGTTTTGAATTTTTGAAGTTTGTTATGCCATTATTTCTATAAGAAATTGAACGAAAATCCTAATCTTTAAATATTCCAGATTCTCAGACGAGTTGTTCTTCAACACTGAAGCTTTGAAGGTACATAATCCGGAACTTATACGACCTATAGCACCCGCTTGCGATGTATACAAGTATAAATCCGACGACTACTGGAAATGCGTTTTAAGGCACTTTGCCATCACTATCTATCATCCTAGCTGTACGTGTACGATGGGTCCTGACGAAAAAACTGCCGTAGTAGACCCAAGGCTGCGAGTTCATGGTATTAAGAACTTGAGAGTAGTAGATGCGAGTATCATGCCTCGCATAGTTAGCGGGAATACTCATGCACCGACTATGATGATTGGATTAAAAGCTGCTGATATAATAAAAGAAGACTGGTCGTAGTTGAACTGTAATTTTTTGGACTTTTTTGAAATTTCACATAATTTATTAATATGATTAGGTGTATATCAGTTCAAATTAAATTGTCTAATCTGACAGTACTTGATAAAAATTCACTTTAACGAAGTATGTGAGCCAACAATAATTATAAAGTGTATAAAATGTGTATATATAATCTACAAAAGATTTTAAGATATACATTGTCCTAAAAATGTAACACAAATGGGAGTGTATATTCATTAATTTTCGTTAGAATTTTTTATTTGTAAATACCAATTTATAAAAGACTAAACAATTAAACTGTTGTTTTATTGAAATAGTTTTATTTGGTTAGTACGTTGCATGTGAATTTATTTTGATTTTAAGTGAGAGCGCCTACCAAACTGGCGTGGCAAGTAGCACGTAGCAAGTAGCACGCGTCTAGCATCTTTCTTAAAATGTAACCAATGAAAACGAATGATTAGAATGAATGACGTCACTGTCATTTTGGTGTGCGCTGAATCATTCGTTTTCATTGGTTACATTTTAAGAAACATGATAGACGCGTGCTACTTGCCACTTGCCACGTGCCACGCCACTTTGGTGGGCGCTCGCTCTAAGTTACACTTAATATTGGTTATGAGCACGTGTGCTTGGTTGTATAGCAATTTCCAGTCACTACCAGTCATATTCGTAAATATTTGCACATTTCGTGTAGCGCAAAGGACAGTAAAAGGTTTTAATGCTAAATCTCATTTCTGGTTCACCTCAGTAAAATTTCACGGGATAAAAATAAATGTGATTTTCTTCTTGATGCCACTTCCATTTCACCAGATCAGAAAAATCCGCTGTCACGTCACTTCAAAGCCATTCATATTATTGGAAATGGATAATTTTTCCACAGTAAGCCGCTAAATTAGCCTCCCTCAGAGCCTCAGAGCAGGTAGGGTAAGCGTGGCACACTCTGGCGATATCTTCACTTGATGCTCCGTATTCTTGACCAAGTAACGCTTCATTGATAAGTTCTCCAGATCCGGGCCGATGATGTGTGTTCCTAGAACCATATCGGTAGCTTTGTCAGATAATACCTTAACGAATGCATCCGTGTCGTTATTTGTTTTTGCTCTGGAATTAGCCATGAACGAAAATTTGCCTACTTTGTTTGCAATACTTTCGTTTTTAAGATCTTCTTTGGCCTTTCCATCGGCTCTGAGGGAGACTAATTTAGCGGCTTACTGTGGAAAACCTATTAATTTCTAATAATTCTTGAATGCAATGTCATCTCATCACACCTTTTTTTAATTTTAACTGTATGTACATACCCCTTTTGTTAATCTTCATAAATATTAACTCTAAAATCATGTGAAATGTTGAAATTCATATTATTGTTGTTGCTGCATATTTATAATTGATTCCATATGACGTTGTCAAATATTTTGAAACTCTTGGAAATATTTTTGGAATAGCAATTTCTCCAAGAGTAGGTCTTTTAAAAAGTTTTTAACACATCATCAGCAGAATGTATAGATTAACACAAATATATATTTTTAAAAGCGCTCTATCCACTGTTTCAAATTTTCATGTTATGTAATGAATCATGAAAGATCGAAATAACGTTATAGTACACTGATGTTACCGATTTACACACAACGATTAATAAATCCTGCTCCTCCCACGTTCACTGTCATAAATAGATACATTATATATACTACTTCCAAAATTAACGCACCACCTCAAATGTACTATGCCTCCTGACTCCTTCTGGAGTAAGGATATTCGTCTTATTTGAGAGTTCTTTGATCGAACCGGTGCGGTCCATAAAAATACACGTAATGTAAGTGTAAACTGTGAAGATAGTTTGGTTCATAAACTGAATATATACTTATTTCGTCATACTACATGAATATATCATCATCATCATCATTTGGCTCTACAACTCTAGGTGAGCATTGGCCGCGTTTACTATTTCCCTCCATTGTTTTCAGTCCTAAGCAGCTATTTCCCATTGATGTATTCCCATTTTGAGTACATCACTGGCTACTGCGTCCTTCCATCTCTGTCTTGGGCGACCAACTGACGTTCTGCTCTCGGGCCTTTTTCAGAATGTGGCATTCAAGAATCTTTCGCCACTCGATCTTAGCACGTGGCCCGCCCATCTTATTCGGTTTGTTTTAATGTAGCGTACTATGTTTTCATCTCCACATACTGTCTGGAGTTCATCATTGTATCTTCTTCTCCATTCTCCTGTTGTCTCTTCTCTGCAAGGTCCATAGATAGTCCGCTGTATCTTTTTTTCCAGTACTAGTAATTTTGTCGTTTCCCCTTCTGGTTCAGAGTCCATGCCTCGCTTCCATACGTTATTGTGGGACGAATTATTGTCTTATACACTCTTATTTTTGCTAGTATTAAGAGTATTTTTAATTTAAGTACGGTCATTATTGAGTAATATGCCCTGTTTCCTGCAATTATCCTGGCTGCCATGTCCTTTTCATATTTATTTTTAGATGTTATGATCGCTCCCAGGTACTTGAATTCTTTGACGACTTTAAAGTTGTATTCATTGATTGTTACGTTTTGTCTAACTCTTGGCCTTGGGTTCTTCGTAACCACCATGTAGTTGGTCTTGTCCTCATTGACCTTCAGACCAACTTCCTTGGTTCCGTTTTCGAATAGGGTGAAAACTTTTTTTGCATCTCTGGTGGATTGTGCGATTGTGTCCACGTCATCCGGAAAGGCAAATAGTATTTTTGATCCTTGGGCGGCAAATCCGTTTGTCAGTTGTGGTTGAGCATTCCTTACCGCCTATTCCGGTGCAAAATTAAATAGCAGGAATTCCTCCGACGTGGTGCTGCCAATTCTGATCCGTGCGGAAGCGTTCTCTGCGCTTACCTGTGCTAATCGTACCAGCTTTACAGGTACTCCCATTTCTACCATGGTCTCCCACAATGTTTAAATATGAGCAATGAATGAACATATGTAATAACCAATATCGAACAGGAAAGGGGACAATTATTGGTCACCTTGAAAAAAAAAACTAAAAGCAAATATATTAGTTATGGATTCGCAATTCTTTTTCTTGGTACTTGTAGACCAAGTACTGGGCCAAAACTCTACAAACTCTCGCCGAAATTGCTTCATCCTTCGTTAAAAATTCTCCTTATTCCATCGAACTTCTTAAACAGTACCCTATCTCAGCGTCAGACATTCTAATAAGTATACCGCCTACTACACCCGCCAATAAAAATACCACCAGAAATGATCGCGCCAACCCTCGCGCCAATCCTCGCGCCAATCCCCACGGTAACTCCCACGTCAACCTCTACCCAAACCACGATATCATCGACGACGGTATAAATGAACCGTCCTCTGTTTCCAGTACTAGTAATGCTTTTATTAGTGATCCGTGTAGTAGTTTCTGGGGTTCGGGAGGCTGAAACCAAGGAAGCACTGAAGAAGACATCAAAGAGACTGTTGAGTTTAGTATTAACTCTTGTATTAGTATTAATCTTAGCTATAAGTTTATTATATATATATATATATATATATATATATATATATATATATATATATATATATATATGTAACTTAGAGCTAAGATTAATATTATTACTAAAATTAATATCAAACTCACCAGTCTTCCGGGTTGAACCGCGTCGATATCCATTTTGCCGAGCTTTCGGCATCCTCTCTGATGCCTTCCTCAGGGCTTTCGAGGTCTCGGTCTCCCGAGCCCCCAGACACTACTACACTGTTCACTGTTCACTACGCTGTCACTACTGACAGTACTTCTGCTCCTACTTGACGGTCGTACTCCTTTATATATATATATATATATATATTATATATATATATATATATATATATATATATATATATATAAATTAACAGTATAGTTATACGGGCAGTTATTATTAATTGCTATTTTCAATGATTTAGCAAGTAATTCAACACGAATGGAACAGACAGATCTTCTTTTGAATCTGATGTTAAAAATACAGTATCAAAAATCTTACCAGGCGTATTCTAAGTCTTATACGCACCTGAAACAAAAAAATGTATATTAGATTAATGTAAAACTAATGCTTACAAATAAACTAGTGGAATATATTATTACAATTTTTTTTCAAATATAATAAAGAAGACCGGAGGTCTTCTTTAAGTCAACAAATCAAAATTTACCTTATAGTAAATCTGATTTTATTCATAGTGCCCTATGATATTTCGTATGTCACGACGTTCATTAATTAGAAATATGCTGTGTAGTGCCCTTTTGGTAGTCGGCTTGTTTGTTTTCTATTTTCAATATATTCGTTATATCCTCCCCTTTTATTTAACACATCACACGTTCCAATCGGATCAATAACAACGGAGATATGATGTAATTCCCTTTTGGCAATGCCAATATGTGTGTTTATTCTGTCTTAACATATTCGCTACCCCATCTCGTTTGTATTATACATCATGACTCGATAAACAATCCTAAACCCACCGCAAAATACTCAAAAAGTATTTTAATCATTAACTTCTAGAACGAACTAGCGATAAATCAACCGTATCGTTTCAAGAACAAAACATGATTGAAATATCAATTGGTAGTTCAGATTTCTTTCCTAGGTGGAGCTAAGTTGTCGTAAAAATTCTGGAAACTTTACAAACATTTTTTTTCCAACAACACTGGTCTCATGATCTTATATAGTTTATCACTACAATTATTACATTTTGGAGAAGATATTTTTGCCAACTAATACTGCTATGTAGTTTTAAATAATGTTTCTCTCATTTCTTATCATTTTACGTCTTTACGTTTTACCTTAGGCCCTTTTTTATTTTTTATTTTTTTATACATCTAAAATTAGTTATCATAAGTTAACCTAATAATGTATTTTCATTATCATCATCATTATTTTCAATATTATATTATTACGATAGTTATTCCTTCCCTTTTAATTGTTATTTTGATGGGGATATTTTAGGCAAACAATACTCTCAACTCTAGATAAAATTCTCCTGGAATTTACCTACGATCTATCTAACCAGGATTTCCTCTAAGACGACTACCGAACGTAGTTATTTATTTATATACCGATAAGTTAAGTGATTTGTTGAAGAAATCTGGAGGTATGTAATAATTTTGTTATATAATACAGTGTATTAATATGTATATTTTAAAGTCGTTGTTTATGTGGGATTGTCATCGATATTGTTCAGCAGTAAATCTGTTGGTGATTCTTTGCTGATACTTTACTTGTTTTAAATTTTAATTCTTTACAATCGTCTTCAATGTTCGCTCCATATGTATTTTTATTACATAATTTTTTATATTAGTTTGTATTATTTTTTCGATATTTTAATGATCAGATCTATTTATGTTGACTTCACAGCATATCGCGTTGTAAAGCATATAGTTATTACTTCTGTCTTCCTGGTCATATGTAGTTTGTTAAATATCGATAGGCTTTTATCTTGTTCCTACCATTTTCATTTACTTTATTGTTCAGTGTAGTTTTTTACAGCAACTTCTCTGAAGAATGTCTCCATATCATCATCTGCAACCATAGCAGAATATCTTGTATTAGAATTATATTTAACAGTTTCCTATTTACGTTATTATCTTTAACCACTTTCTTACTGTTTTTCGCTTTTATATCTATTTATATCCGTAAACCTTGGGAAAAGATAAAGAGGTCTTAAATACAGTTTAAGTCAGAAAACTGCAATATCTGGGACATGTTATGAGAGGCGAGCGTTAAAACTTTAATAATGCAAGGAAGAATACATGGTAGAAGGAATCGCGAAAGAAGACGCATCTCCTGGTTGAATAATGTAAAGTCTTTATTACTACTAATTTATTTTACACTTAATTTACACTTAACTTATCTACGTGCGATACAAGTTTGAACGCGCGCACGGACTTCTTTTTGACTAACTTCCCAATAAAAATGCCCGTTATTATATATAGAATGCCGTTATCTAGAAGGGTCTGGCGATGCATCGATGACCTTCCATCCATTAGGTGACTCATGGACTGGTCTTCGAAGGGTCTAGTAATTTCTGCCGGCAGGTAAACAGGTTTGAGCGCCGAAATTACTAGAAATAGAAAAGAATTAGTCATAATATATTTACAGTTTTATACGCCATAATATTTATTACCGTAACAATAATTTGAGAGCTTGGTTTAATTGCACTTCTACTGACCTCTTTAGAGCAGCGGCGTCGAAAGTGCGAATTGCCATGATGGTTGCCAACCTTCTTAGAGGAGATGGTACGTGAAGAAGAATAAGATCCGTAAACCTAACCTTTAAACTACGATTATGACTGTTGCTCATATTCTTAATTTTCTCGATTTAAAATATCATTATTTTGGCTTCAGATTCCCGTGCGGATCCTAGCTTTCTTAAAAACTTATCTCCAATCGTTTCCAGCCATCGCCTTCTCCTCCATGTAAGTATTCCCCCATATTTTTCATATTTTCATCGATGATATCAAGATATCTTCTCCTAGGACTTCCTCTTCTTCTCTAGATCAATAAATCTATCAAGCAGCGTTTTTATAACTAAATTAGTTTATTGTATCGTCATTACATACCCTGGCCAGCTCAGATATTCTATGTTAATGTATTTTACTATATATGGTTATTATATTGTATAAAGTTCGAAGTATTGTATCGTTTTCTCCACACTGCAATGTCATTTACCGCTCCATAGATTCGCCTCATCACTTTTCTTTCGAAACACGTTTTCATTACTTTTTGTTGAAGTCCAGATATCGCACCATTACGACAAAGATTGAAGAACTGCCTCATCTAAACACTTTTTGTTCGCCCCCTAAAGATATAAGGCCAATAATCTTGTGTTGTGCTTAGTAAATGTATTCCTCTATAATTTGACGAAAGCTGCTTCCCTTTTTAAACATGAGTAGGGTGGTGCTAGTTCTACATTCATTTGGTATTCTACTTTAGTATTGTGTTAAGGTAAGTTATTGTATTAATTTCTCTCTATATTTTAGCAGTTCACTTGAGATCCCGTTCTGTCTGGGCTTTTTCATATTCGTTACTACCCGGAGGACTGACTGTGTGGTCTGCGATTAAATTTCGATGTTTTCATTTATTATTATTTCTGGTGTGTTCACAATTCTTCTGTCTACGTGTCTTCTACGTTGTACAGTTCAGTGAGATAATATATCCATTCTTCATTAGGTATTTCATTCATGTTGTAACATTTATTTTCGATCCTGTATAAGATCTTCCTTATTATGCGTCTTACAAATATTAAATGTTTATTTACAAAATCAATTTGCCTCGAGTGGAACGCAATCGCTCTCTTTTTAACATATTTTTCTTTGTTTCGCCCATTATAATGTTAAAATAATAACTAATTTTTCAATGAATATAGGCCAGCTGATCCTTTTCTACGCGCTAAAAAACTAACTCAGGAGACTCCTTCGTGAAGGACAAGTGTTCGAAGAGTTTTTTAATTTGGACAGCGAGAAGATTGGTTAGATCGGCGAAGTGGTTCAAAACGAAAAAAAGAATAAGTTAGTGCATAATGGTTCACCTTTAGTTGTGGTGATAAGCATATCTCACTGTTAAGTGAGTTATGCTTATCTAAGCGTACTGAGTTTTTTAAGCTGAATATTTTCTGAGCTTTTTTTTGTGATCTGACCCACCTCCACGTGTGTTTCTGTAGACCATAGGCAGTATTGATTTTTTTTGCTTGTCTCACCAAAGTCAACATTTCGTTTATGTTTTACAGTATTCCTTTTCTTTAAATTTTTGTTTAGCTTCTGAACAGAACTACACGGTTTTCTTTATTGTTCTATTGATGTTACTATGAACTATTCACGTGCCAAGATCACTTCCGCCTTCCTCTGTTATTGCCATTGCTATAATTTTTATTCAATCTTGATATCAAAACATAATTTAACCAGATTAATATATTATTTTTCATGTTAAACGTGTCTTTTTATGTTATATTTTTGGTCAAAATAACTATTTTTAAAAACTAGGTACTGATATAATACATTTTTCGATATTAAAGGATGACTGATATTACCATAGAAGATTTCTGTGTCGGCAACTTGCAAGAAACGCCGCTATCACTATTCATTCAGCTAATTAGTACATTAGTAGTCGCTAAATGCTCTTTAGGATCAGATATTGACTATCCAGATGATTACGGAATGAAACTACAAAATGGACATGAGTTTGATTTCATTATTATTGGTGCAGGATCTGGGGGATCAGTACTAGCTAACAAATTAACAGAAAACAAAAATTGGAAAGTGCTGGTCCTAGAAGCTGGTGGAATTCCCTCTGATACTAGTGACGTAAGACTAGTTAATTATACCAATTAAGATAAAGTTTTTAAAGCGATTTTTTTTTAAATTTTAGATTCCTTTTCTTTCTTTTAATGTACAAGGAACTTCCAATGATTGGCAATATACAACTCAAGCAACAAATAGCTCATGTTTGGGTTTCACAAACAGACAATGTAAAATCCCCAAAGGAAAAGCTCTAGGGGTACTAGTGCATTAAATGATATGACTTACATCAAAGGTTATCAAAGGGACTATGACAAATGGGCAGAGAATGGAAATAATGAGTGGAGCTGGAACGATGTAAAAGATTACTTCAATGATATAGAAAATATTCAGGCTCCAGATGATCTAACCACGAGTATGGGTGTAGGTGGACTACTTCCTTTATTGAAGTTAAAAAACCGTACGTATATTTATTCAGAATGTTTTACCATTGTGTTGTAATTTGACTTACATTGTTTAGAGTTCATCATCATAAGTGACTCGACAATCCGTTGTGGATCTTGGCCTGCTGACAAAGAACTCGCCGCACTACTGTCGATTCCTGGCAACTTCCCTCCATCTTCTGACCCTTAGAATCTGTAGGTCTTCTTCCACATTAACAATCCATCTCCCTCGTGGTATTCCTCTACTTCTTGTGCGAACTGGTTTTGAAAACGTTAATATCTTCGTACATTCGTGATCTGACATCCTAGCAATGTCTCCAGCCCAACTAAGTCTCTGCACTTTAATGAATTTTACAATACCTGGATCGCTGTATAACTGGTATAGTTCAAAGTTGTATCTTCGACGCCATAGACCATTTTCATTTAAGGAACCAAAATTCTTTCTACGAATTTTTCTCTCAAAAATACCAAGAAGTCTTTCATTATTTTGAGATAAGGTAAACGTTTCAGCACCATCTACCAAAACCGGTCTTATTAAGGTCTTGTATATATATGAGCTTTACTGCACGTTTTATATTTCTATTTTTTAAATGTTGTTGTTGCGTTTACTAGCGATCCAAGATATGTGAATTCTTTGACTTGCTCAAAGGTATGGTTGGTAATTTGAATTCTCTGTTGGATATTTCGGGGTTTTTAGAAACCAACATATATTCGATTTTTTCCTCGTTTACCACTAATCCATATTCACTTGCCGCGTTCGCAAGCCTTATAAAATACTGCACCATGTCTCTCATACTTCTGCCCACTATAACTATATCGTCAGCCAATGCGAGAATTTGCGTCAATCTATTAAAACAGTTCCATTCATTGTAATATTTAATTCTACGATTTCCTTTGACAAGGCCATATGAAAGAGGAGACACACCAGCGCGTCTCCTGTCTTAGACCATTATTCATGTTAAAGAACTTAGCGTTTTCTCTTTCAATTCTCATGAAGCTTACTTTTGCATGTTGTTAGGTCAACTTAACTAATTTGGTGGAATCCCAAATCTATCGTTGCATTAATAAAGGCATCTTTTCACACTGTCAAGGCTCCTTTAAAGTCGACGAGAGATGGCGTGTATCCATGTTATATTCTAGTGCTTTCTAGAATCTGCCTATGTAACTTGAATTTAATGTGTAGTTGACTTTCAGCAGTGAATCCGCATTGATATTGACCAACAATATCCTTTGTAGAATATTTAAGTCTTTCATACAATACATTGCCGAAGATTTTATATGCAGATGCTAAAAGAGTAATGCTTCTATAGTTCTTACACTCCAGTTGATCACCCTTTTTATGCAACGAACATATTATTCCCTTTAGCCACTATCCTGGTAACAATTCATTCTGCCATATAAATACTATTAGTTTATGGATTGCTGCAAAAGTTATCACCACCTATTCTAGATTTCCGAACGATTCATCATTACTGGGCTTTATTGTCTTTGAGTTTTAGATGCATTTGACACTTCTTCTTCTGTTGGGTCTTCACTGTGTAGTTGACAGTTGTAGATTTTGTGAGTTGTCTATGTCTGTAACTCCTTAACATCGTTTAATTTAGATGTTCGCTGAATGTGCCCATCTGTTAGAACTAAGTTTTTATCTATAGAATTTATCGTTAGTGCTTTCAATTGTATCGTGGTTTAAATTCTCGGCGCTATTTTAAAGATTTGTTGTATTTCTCATTTACATTTTATTGGAATAAACTTTGTATCTCATGAAGTGTTATTCCTATTCCCTCTTCTTACGTCGATGAATACTTTTTCCTCTCTTGTAAGACGTCTATACTCTCTTTTTTCTCCCGGTCTATCCTAATCATCATCATCATCATCATTTGGCTCTACAACTCTAGGTGAGTCTTGGCCGCGTTTACTATTTCCCTCCATTGTTGTCGGTCCTGAGCAGCTATTTCCCACTGCTGCACTCCCATTTTACGTAGATCACTGGCCACTGCGTCCTTCCATCTCTTTCTTGGGCGGCCAACTGACCTTCTGCCATCGGGCCTTTCCCAGAATGTGGTGTTCAGAAGTCTTTCGTTATTTGACCTTAGGACGTGGCCCGCCCATCTTATTCGGTTTGCTTTAATGTAGCGGACTATGTTTTCATCTCCATATATTGTCTGGAGTTCATTATTGTGTCTTCTTCTCCACTCTCCTGTTGTTTCTTCTCTACAAGGCCCATAGATAGTCCGCAGTATCTTTCTTTCAAGAACCAGTAATTTTGTCGTTTCCCGCTGGTTCAGCGTCCATGTCTCGCTTCCATACGTTATTGTGGGTCGAATTATTGTCTTGTATACTCTTATTTTTGCTGATCTTGAGAGTATTTTTGATTTAAGGATGGTCATTAAAGAGTAATATGTCCTGTTTCCTGCTATTATCCTGGCTGCCACGTCATTTTCATATTTGTTTTCAGATGTTATGATCGCTCCCAGATACTTAAACTCTTTGACGACTTCGAAGTTATATTCGTTAATTGTTACGTTTTGCCTAACCCTTGGTCTTGGGTTCTTCGTAACTACCATGTACTTGGTCTTATCCTCGTTTACCTTAAGACCAATTTCCTTGGCTCCGGTCTCGAATAGGGTGAAAACTTCTTTTGCAGCTCTGGTGGATTGTGCTATTGTGTCCACGTCATCCGCAAAGGCCAATAGTATTTTTGATCCTTGTGCGGCAAATCCGTTTGTCAATTGTGGCTGAGCTTTCCTTACTGCATGTTCCAGTGCGAAGTTAAACAGCAGGGGAGCGAGAGGATCTCCTTGTCTAAGCCCGGTGTCAATGTGGAATTCCTCCGACGTGTGTTGCCAATTCTGATCCGTGCGGAAGCGTTCTCCGTGCTCACCTGTGCTAATCGTACCAGCTTTCCAGGTACTCCCAATTCTACCATGGTCTTCCACAATGCCTCTCTGCTAACAGAATCGTAGGCTTGTTTAAAGTCCACGAATATTTGGTGTACGTCGCGATTGAATTCCCAGTTTTTTTCCAACACTTGGCGTAGGACGAAGATCTGGTCTATGGTCGACCTTCCCGGTCTGAATCCACTTTGATAGTCACCTATTATTTCCTCTGCGTATGGAGTTAGTCTTCTAAATAATATTGTGGATAAAATTTTGTATGTTGTATTGACTAACGATATTCCTCTATAATTGCGACATATTTGTTTGGTCTCCTTCTTGTGTGGATAGGTATTATATCACTTTCATGCAAGTGTTTCGGTATTTCTTCTCTTTCCCAGACTTCTCTTATAAGATTGGTATATCTCAAGATGTAGTTTGTTCCTCCCCCTTTTTTAGTAGTTCCGCCTGTATGCCGTCTGGTCCTGGGGCTTTATAATTTTTTAGGACGAAATTGCGGACTTTACTTCAGCTAGTGTGGGCTCCTACTATTTCATGTTCGGCTAACTGGTATTGTCTGTGTTGCCACGTGTTGTGGGAGTTGCTGTATTTAAAGGTGTGTTTTAAAATACTATTCTCCATTGACGGCTTATCTCCTCGTCGTCGCTAGATACTGTCCTGTATCATCTTTTTATAATTCTTGGGCTGTTGGTCGTGTACTACCTTCGTCGATGTTTTTTTGATATGCTACGTTACTTCTATTTATGGCCATTTCGAACTCAGGATCAAACCAATGATTTCTTTTTTCTGACTTGGTTTTGCCCAATGTTTCAACCGATTTCTAGTTTTCTGTCCATATTTGATCTTCTATTTGCTGTCTGTATACATTTGCAATGTCACGAAGTTTTAGTTTATTAATGTCGATTTTTTCTCTCTTTTCCCCGATCTCCTTTGTTAAATTGAATATTCTCTCTTTAAATCGTGCTTTAACTAAATAGTGATCACTATCTATGTTTGCTCCTCTAAAAGACCTAACATCTAATAAGTTTGAGCAGTGTCTTGCATCGATGATTATGTGATCTATTTGGTTAATCGTTTCATTATCAGGAGATTTCCAAGTTCCCTTATGTATATCTTTATGGGGAAATTGTGTCCCAGCTATTATCATATTCTTAGATATCGCAAAGTTTATGATTCTGACACCTTTATCATTAGAGTCTAAGTATAGGCTCTCTTTTCCGATGGTGGGTGAAAATATATTCTCTCTTCCGACTTTGGCATTAAAGTCTCCTGCTATTATTTTGATGTCATTTTTTGGGCACTCATCGTCCTCTCGGTCTAGTGCCTCATAGAACATGTATTTTTCATCATCATCTTTTTGTTCCGTTGGAGCATAGATGCTAATAGTCTTGACTTTAGCTATAAACAATCATTGTTCTCTTGCTAATTTTCGTCAATTAACCGTAGTCTTAGTTCTCAAAACCAGTTCGATAAATGTCATCCAAATTAGCTGTTATGTCAAAAAGCATAACATGTATCGATCCTATAAAAATATAAATATATTGGTTGAGAATACTTTGTAAAATCATAAATTCCTTTTATTACCAAATGTCTTAAGAATTAAGAAGAAAGTTCTCACAGGTTCTTTTATACGTCCAAAATTTGTTGAACATACTGTCTATATATACTTTTTTTACATCTTTTAGATGATCCCATTACACTTTCGTTAAAAGAAGGCTATAATAACCTCAGTATTCCTTACCACGAAGAGCAGGACCCAAAAAAGATAATAGGAATCTTAGAAGCTCCATTATGTATTCAATCTGGCACGAGAGCCAACAGTGGTAAAACTATATTAGGAACGATTCGGCAAAGACAGAACCTGTTTGTTAGTAGACACACTGTGGTAGACAAAATTCTAATAAACCCAGAAAATATGGCAGTCTCTGAAGTGCGAGTAAGAATTGGACTTCAAACTTTGTTAATAAAAGCTCGCAAAGAAGTGATTCTTTCAGCCGGTTCTATCAACTCTCCGCAGATACTAATGCTTTCTGGAATTGGTCCAAAAGATCATTTAAAACAGCATAATATTTCACTAATAAAGAATCTTCCTGTTGGAGAAAATCTACAAGATCATTTATTCTTTACTGGTTTTAGTGTTAAACTAGATTTAAACGCTCTTTTACCAAGGGATCCTATTGACATTGTCTACGAATACTTTAAGCACCGCAATGGCTTGTTAAGTACCGCTGGTATTGCAAATTTCATATCGTTTATCAACACAAAAAACGATTCTGACATTCCGAACGTTTCTTATCGTCACATAATATTTCCCGCCAGTGATGATATTCTCCTTCCTGCTGTAACCAAGGCTTTTGGTATGGAAGACGATGTTGTCAAAGCTATGGAGAAAGCAAATAAATACGATCCGGTAATGATGATACTACCTAGTATTGTAAATCCAAAATCTAGAGGCAAAGTTCTTCTGCAAAGTAACAATATTGACGATAAGCCTTTAATATATCCGGGATACATGACAGATACTGGTGAGGAGGATATTCAAAACTTATTGGATGGTATAAGGTAAGGCTATTAGCGTTTTTTAATAATGATTTCTGATAGTTATTAATGATGCATAAATGCTTAGTGAAATCCATTTTTTCTTGGTATAATAAATAATAAATAATAATCAGTTGTCCAGGCGGAAATAATGGCAATTCATTACTGCGTGGAAGAAATAGAAAGGCAGAAAAGAACCGAACCGTTCCGTTTAATTGCCATCTTCACATATAGTCAGGCAGCGCTTAAAGCACTCAATTCTGTAGAGGTCAATAATTCTAACCTAGTACGGGATTGTGTGTATGCCCTAAACAAACTACGAGATCGTAGCAAATTTACGGTAGCCTGGGTACCGGGGCACGAGGGTCATAAGGGCAATGAAAAAGCAGATGAAATGGCTAAACAAGGCTCATAAATGCCATTCATTGAACCGGAACACTTCTGCGGCGTTGCATAGACAGTAACAAGAACGGCTACAAAAAAGTGGGTAGCTCACAAATCTCTGGAATGGTCGAGGAACTCACTAGGACAAAGACAGGCGAAAGAGTTCATTACAGAACATTCGCCAAAATTTACGGCAGACCTAATAAGCAGAGAGAGGAAAACAGTCAAAGCCATAGTAGGTCTTTTAACAGGGCACTTTAAGCTGAATAGGCACTTGAAGCTGATGGGATTATCAGAAGATGACCTGTGCAGGTTCTGTTACTTCGAAGAAGAAAACAGCAGAGCACATTCTATGCCAGTGTTACAGTGCGGTTCTTTGCATTAGACTTTTTAAAAAGGGTCAGGCTAGAGAATGTTATCTAGAACTAAAGGACAATAGATCTGAAAAGGTCGCAGTGAAATAGGCCAAAAGGCCACTCTAAATCTATATATCTATACATTGATCTTACAATCTTCTTCTTGTACGTATTAATTGGTGAGAAGTAACAAACATTGTGTAATTTCAAATACAACCTCAGTCGATACAGAAACTGGGTATATTCATTTTCAAAAGCTTGTAGATTATATCTCTTTGTTTTTTTATGAAACACTCATAATTTAAAATATTTTAGGTTTGCTAAAAAACTTCTCGAGACCGCATCACTAAAGCAGCATTTACCAAAATTACTCCACCTACCAATTCCAAATTGTGATGAGTATGAATTTAACTGCGAGGGATACTGGACATGTGCGTTAAGGCACTTATCAACAACGTTTGGCGACCTTACTAGTACTTGTGCAATGGGTCCCAAAGACGATGGCAAGTCAGTGGTAGATTCCAATCTGAAGGTGCATGGTATTAAGAACTTAAGAGTTGTTGATGCTAGTGTTATACCGTCCATAGTCAGCAGTGGGACCCAAGCGACTACAATGATGATTGGATACAAAGCGGCTCTGATGATAAAAAAGGACTGGTCTGTACAACACGAAGAACTATAAATAAAATAAAGAATATGGCTTATATCAGTATTTTTTTATCACTTTCTGTTTTTTATTGTAGTGCGAGATTGCCCTACAGAGCAAATCTATATTGGGCGTTTTGATTATACTAGTTCGTAGTTAGTTTTTTGATATATAAACTCTAATTCCACTATTTGGAAGAGTGATTCATCGTTTAAAGGCGGAGAACTGGGGAAAGACGTCGGCCCGTTCTCGGCAAAAACGAGTTTTACTGCTATCTGTGGGTCGGAATGACTCCGTCGCTAATTCCACAGTTGCCAAACGGAACATATAAATAAAATTTATTTCATTACAATTTTGTGGTTAATTTTTCTCTTTAGAATAGCTCGAGACAGAGACAGTTTCGCCATGTTAATCGCCAACGTCAAGGAGACTTGATAGGGCACGTTAAGAAGAAGAAGGTTAATTTTTACTATTGAAAAAATCATATTTTTGGTATTTTAATGACGGTAATAATCGCTGCGTGGAAAAATACAGGTTTTGTATGACCATAATTACTAAGGGTGGTTTTGGAAGGCCGCTATGTACATTTAAATTTGAGGATATTCGGCTTTTAAACGATGAATCACTCTTCCAAATAGTGGAATTATAGGATAGTTCACTATTTAACCTTAATTTAACACCATTAGAATTTAGTGATCGTTTAAAATTAGAATGTGGGGTTAAACAAGGAGAATTGATGTCACCTAAACTTTTTATTACGGTACTAGAACATGCTTTTACGAATTAGGATTGGCAGACAAAAGGAACAAAAATAGATAAAGAATATCTAAATAACTTGTGTTTTACCGATGATCTAGTCTTAATAGCTGAAGATCTAGGAATGACAAGGGAGATGATGGAACTCATTGAGAAAATGTAGGTTTAAATATAAACATTTTGAAGATAGGACGAATCAGTCTGGAATTGGGCAGCGTATGAAAAACAGAAACTTTTAAAAGTGAGCTGCATATATGCTTGAAAAAAAAGTGTTTGATCAATGCGTCCTACTAGTGTTGACATATGGAACGGATTAGAAGAAACATCTTAACAAAAACCTCACAAATTGGAGTCACACAAAGAAGAATGGATCGATCCATGTTAGGAACAACTCTGCGAGAAAAAGATTCTCAAATTGTAGACTTCCAGAGTCTTTAGTGCGGTTTGGCTGTTAGATGTTTATAGCTGGAGAATATTTAAGAAGAATATTGTCAGTTGCCTTGATCCACAAAAAACTGTTCCTAAATTACGTCAAGAGATCGTTTCATTTTTCAGGACTCAAAAATTCTATGTTTCAGAATACAAATGTCGTTATGAACACTGAAATAGCGCAATGGAGCACATTTTGAACATTTACATTATCGTCCTGATAACTACATAATTTAGTCTGTATTCTAGCGCATACAAATGATCTATAGACCATTTTTGGTTTAAGACAGAATGTTTTATCCCTTGTCACTTTAGTGACATTTGCTAGATGCGCATTCTGTGTAGAAATTAAGTCCATGATCTTTAATCTATTCTGCGAATTATAGCTGTTCTCCTTAAACTAAATTCTTATCATCCATCGTTTAAAGTCCACTGCTGAACATAAATCTCTTCCTCTTCTATCCAACCTCATCTATCTTATGTCGCTCTCATCTAGTTTTTATTTAGCCTTCTTAAATCGTGAGTCAATCGTGTAGATAGTTGATCGATGCTTCTCTTGTCTTTTTTGATCTCCATCCCAATAATATCTTTTTTCATTGTCCATCTGTCAATCTAGCTATGTGTCCTGTCCATATCCATTTTAATCTGGCTATCCTTTCAATTAGTTCTTCTCGTGATCTCTTCGTTGTTTACTTTGTCTCGCAGAGTTATTCCTAGCATGGATCGATCCATTCTTCTTTGTGTGGCTCACAATTTGTGAGGTTTTTGTTAAGGTGTTTCTGCTCCATATGTCAACACTAGTAGAATGCATTGATCAAACACTTTTCTTTAGGCAATAGGCACTTTAAAAAGTTTCTGTTTTTCATACGCGGCCCAATCCCTAAAGAAGATGAAGAATCTTATCTCCAATAAGATATTTAGCAGCCAGAACAAAGCATTTTATGATGTTACATCTTTGAGTTGTTTTAATAAGAATAAACCATGAATTATGATCATCTACAGGTATTCAGTGCTTTATCGCACAAATATCACAACTAAGAAGTATTACGCAGCTGACTTATAAAATACGATTATCTCGAAAACGGTTGAATTTTGAGGTTACTAACAAGTATACCTTTTCTTTGTAAAAATAATTTATCTTTAATATTTTTTAACAATAATACAGTTAACTCAAAGAGCAAAAAAGTTAAGCGCAAATGTATGCCACACATGTGGCATACGTGACTCCCTCTATCAGTTACATTAATACTACTCAAAAAGGTTCAATATCTCATTATATGCCCCAGATATTCGAGTTTTCTCGTTTTTATCATCTTTATTAAGTCACCTTCACCTTGACCTACTCTGTTCAAGACTTCTCTGTTTGAAATGTGTTGAACCCGTGATACTCTGAGCATTCTACGATATAACCACATCTTGAAGGCTTCTAATTTGTTCATCATGTTAACTTTCATAATCCAGTTTTCACATCCATACAGTAATACAGGATATACATAACATAACATTTTAGGAACTTAATTCTCAGCTGCAAGTTCAGCTGAGAATTGTTTAGAATAAATAGTTTCATAAATGCTCCTCTTGCAATTTCTATACGAGTTTTAATTTCTTCATCTGGGGAGAATAATTAATAAGCGGAGAAACGAAGAAAAATAAATATCCGAAAATAAGTTTTCCGAAATAAAATAAAATAAATATAAAATAAATATCCGAAAAGAACAAACTTTTATGTGGTATTCAGTTCACATAGGTTCACATGGTGTTCAGGTTTCAGTACTCAATCCTAAGCCCGTATTTATTCTCATTAGTGTTGGACCACATCACTGGTAAAATGTAAGAAGACATTCCTTGGTATAGAATCAATAATGATTATGTAGTTTTAAAATATGTAGAACAAGTATGTATTATACTTTGTAACAAGTTTTTTAGTATTATAGTGTATTATTGGAAGAGCATGTTGTATTTGCTATATTATATTTTATTGTATTACATTATTTAATGAAATATTAATATTTTTCATAGCTTTGAAAGTCGTTAGGATATCTTAGTAATTTAATAGTTTAGATCAGTGGTCGCCAACCTCTTCAATGTGTTTAGCTACTTTGATAATTTTGGAATAAACAGCGAGCTACCCACACGGAAGCCACGTACCGCAACGTAATTGAAATAATCCACAGTTAATCTATCATTATATGTATTTATTTTACTGTTTAACTGGTAATACATAATACACAGGGACTAATAATAAACTAATAACAAAATAACTAATATTACTAGTACGTACTTGTTCATAACTACATTCGTACCTATCAAACAAAGGTATTTGAAAAATACCTTTGTTTGATAGGTAGGAATTTTTGATAGGTGTTTGAAACACAAACTTTTATCCAGCCACAACGGCATGCCACGTATGATTTAAAAATAGTTAATAATAACAACAAAAAAGTAACGCACTATCATAAACATAAACCTTGAAAAATAAAAAAGCACGTTCAATGAGAAGGCTGACACTCATACTCATCGATAATTTTTTTTAATGTTTGCAGTATATAATATTTGATGCAGTCATTCGAATACAATTATCCAAATGTTCCTCTGTAAGTCGATTGCAATATTTGTTCTTAATAAACTTTTTATTGCAAAAAGAAGATTCACACAAATAGGTAGAACTGAATATTTGTCTTTACTTACAATAGGACAGATACATTCAGTACTTGAGACTAACGATTTTAAGCCTAAATCATTTTGAAATTCAATGACTTCCATTTCTGTTGCAGCGATGTCTTCGCCAAAGTTCTGCATAACACAAGCTGCAAACTGCTGGATATCAATTTACATAAAGGGTAAAACAACAAACTGCGCTACTAAAGCCATTTCATTGAAATCCTTAAAACGATTTTTGAAGTTACTCTTCAGGGTAAAAATTATTTCTACATATTTCTTGTCATAGGGTTCTAATGGATTTTGAGATATTATTTCTGAAAGAATAGGAAAATGCTTGGAATCGCTGTTATTTAGATTTTGTTCTCAAAAAAATCCAGCTTTTTGATAAATGCTTTTATATCAGAAATAATTTCTGCTAGTTCTTTATATCTCCCCTGAAGCTGCAAATTAAGTTCGTTTAACTTCTCTGTAATGTCCACGAGAAAACCAAAATCTCTAATCCAGATTGAATTTTCTAGTTCCGCAGTCGGTTCATCGCGTTGTTTAAAAAATTGAACTATGCCACATAGGACATCATTAAAACGTTTCAGCACCCGTCCTCTACTTAACCATCGGACTTCAGAAAGGAGGAAAGTAAGTCCTCCTTATCCTCCTAATCCTGAAGGAGTAAGTCCCCGTATTGACAGTCAACTTCATCGCCCAAGGTTCTAAATAATCTTCTTTGTTACCCTTGAGCTCTAATCTTGTTCACAATTTTTACCACCAGTTTCATAACGTTGTTTAATTTCAGGAAATTTCCACATAATGCTTACTGATGGATAATGCAGTGGTAACAGAAACATTGAGGAAAAGTTTCATCTTTACGACATAACGCCACCAGACCCTTATCACAACCTACCATAGCTGGAGCGCCATCGGTTGTCAAGCCTACCATTTTCGATATTGGAATTTTCTCGGAAGAAATAATATTCTTTCAATGATAAAACAACTCCTGTCCAGTAGTGTGTCCTTTCAGTGGAATGGTAAAATCACTAAAATCCATCCTGACGAACACGGCCATCTGGGCAGTACCAACGACATCTGTTGATTCATCCAGTTGAATTGAAAATTAAACACAGTTATATAAGTCATTTCTTTACTGTAAAAAAATATCATTGCTCATTACTTCTACACGTCTCATCACTGTGTTA